CTTAAGTAGGCTTCCCGTCAATGGTATCACAAATTTTATCAAAAAATTATCTCGTTTAGTTTAGAGGTAAATATAGTAAATGATTGTGTATAACATAAGTTCAATGGAGAGTACGCATATTTTTCGATATTGTATGTCAGTGATATATTACTTTCCTAAAATAATATAGGCTTATTGTGCAAAACGAAGAAATTTCTGAAATGAAATTTAGAAATGAAAAATCTAAGTGACGTCTTTTTTATACTAAGGATGCAAGTACACCAGGGTCATTCTAAGAGTTTTTTTTTTTTTTTTTTTAATATTATCATAGAAGAGCTATATGAAAAAAGTTCTTAAAAGATTTGGAATGCAGGATTGTAAACAAGATGATACCTCTATTACTAAGAGAGTCGAGTTTAATTTTAATTAATGCTCCAAGGATAAACTTAAAGAAATAAAAAACAGAAAATTTTCTATGCTTCAACAGTTGAGTATGTTGAGGTTTGCATACGTTTGGATATGACATTTATTGTTTAAATGCTAGGAAAATATTTAAATAACTTTGGGATGGAAACTTGTAAAGTAGCCAATTAACTTGTTCGGTGTTTACAGATAACTAAGGATTACATGATCACATTCAGGAAAATCAAACCAATTAGAAATCATTGGATATTCTGATTTTGATCATGTATTATAATTGCAAAATTTTGTCACTAGTCTGCATATTTTGGATGGATTTGAAAAATCACTTTACTTATTCTGTAACAATAGCAATCTTGTACTCCAATAGGAGTTTGATGATGTCAAAGTTTATAAACATTAAGTTCCTAGCTGTCAAAGAAATAATTTAGAGTGTTCGGGTTCATATGGAACATATGAGGACAAACTCTATAATTACGTATCCACTTACTAGGAGCTATCACCCAAAGTCTTTCATGAGCCTATTATTCACATAGGTATTGCATCTTTTGATTATATGCCAGTTTCGTGAGAGTTTGTATTCGGATGTTGTTTGTCAAAGACTCATATTTTTATCCATGGATATTCAATTTGTTTCAAAAATAAAGTATTTAGTTCAATCTCACTCTGATTAAAATTTATTGTTGATCTTATAAAAGAGTAAGGTATGACCAATTGAAAATATGCATGTTTGGATCATATTGCAAGTAATCTACATGCTAAATATCCACACTTGATCTGTCATTTAATTGTGTTAATATACAAGACCATTGATGAATTTAGCTATGATACTTGTAATGAAGATCGCTTTGATCATATATTGATATAGTCAATGGATTCGAAGATGTTGTTGGTTATGATAGTAAAAGTTTTGATGTTATAAGGTTATACACATTTATAAGGTAATATTGGGTTCATTAATTTATCATGTGGGCCTACTAATGTAATTAAGTATGTATAAGTATATCTTAAAATTAAGCCTGTTTAAAGTAGTCTCATAAAGAATTATATTATTGGGCCTAAGTTATGTAAATAAAGTGTGAGCCGAATTATATGTGTAAAGACCAGATTCATTAGAATAGTATTTCATGATGGGCGAACTACTTATAGCTATATAGAGTTATGGTCTCCAATTTATATGTGATTCTCTTTCTTTGTGTCATCCCATCAATATAAAAATTAACTAAGAAAATATATTGAAGAGGAAGATTCAATATCCACAACCAAATAAATATAAAGAAGAAGGAATTTAAGAATCAAAGATATGGATCAAGAAGCAAACTCAAGATCAAGAATTAAATAATCAAATGAGCAAAATTTTAAGATTAAAAGTGAAGAAACCAAACATGAAAAGATTGTAGTTCAAGATTCAAGATATAATAATAAAAAATCATTCCCAAAGAAATAAGATATGTTCCACATTAATTAATTTTTTTGTTAATTTTTTTGTTAATTTGACATGGAAACTTTGGCAATTCATAAAGTTTCATAAAGCTTATGTTTTGACATAGTCTTGGTTGAACAAAGTCCGACCAAGTAATTAGTTGGAATCAGGCACTCAGCCCCTTATAAGCATGATCTTCATCAAGCATATGAAAATTTTAGCCAAATGCCAAACATCTTGTCAATCAAACTATGTAGCAAACATGCATATGTCATTGATCTAATGTAAATCTCTTCAGGTTGCCTGTTTCATTTACGTTTAACCAGGGACGGATTGGGGGGGCTGGGTTGCTCAAGCCCAAGAAATTTTTTTAAGGGTATTTATTTATTTATAAAAAAAACCAGTTTTTTACATGTAAATTTTTTTTTCCCGCGTATTAGTCCAGTTTAAAATTTTTTAGCTCGATTTTGGATCTATCCCTGTATGTACTAAGAACCATTATCGAGTCAATTAATTGGACATCCTACACTCTTTGCAGGGAATAGACATTGATTTATTTAGGTTCAAGTTTTATTATTTATTATGGGCTTGCGAGCATGGTTGGCTATAAAGCTTTAAAGCCTATTAAAAGGGCGGGTTTTGTTAACATGACCAAACATGCTATTTTTTGTACGAAGTATCTTACTTATATATAATTATTTCTAATTTAGGATGGGGAAGTTGAGCTAGAAATTTCGAAATAAACACTAGCAATTGGCAATTGTTTTCTATGATATAATTGTCATGTCTGGACAATTTATCTCAAAATTCGCATATCTAGCTCTATATACATATGCAATGATTGAGGGTATACCTTCATTTATTCATTTCAAATATGCTAAAGGGAACATTATCCTTTAATTTTTCCTTCTAAAGTTCTCTTAAATATTGTTAAAAAAATTAGGAAGGCTTGAATTACTTCTCTCGTTCAACATTAATATTATAAAGTCTTCTTCACAAAGCTCGGGCTTTCTTGTTTTGGATGTCATCTTTAACTTCTTGGTGTGAGGAGGATGCTAACAAACTCTTTGTTCAATATTAGATATACAATATCACGGAAGCTCGCTCTAAGGATCGTTAAATCGATGATTTTCAACCTTAGTTTTACGTTACATTTCTCTATCAAACAACCAATCTAAACAACTCCAACCCACAACCAACATATTCACCTTGGCTGTTTCTCCATCTCACCCGCAAAAGGATAAGATAACGGTGATAATTTATAGGTCACAAAGGCACAGGAAGAACAACAAAATGAGGCAAGAGAAGAGATCAAAATCAAAGAAGGATGCACTGGTTTTTCTTCTCCAAGAGGAGCCGATTTTTGAGACATCCACGTTTTTCCTACTTTCATATACAAATCACACACTAAACTGGACCAATAATAAGATTAAATGAACCAAGATTAAAAACCATCCAAGAGGTAATATATATGGGTCGGGTCAAGTTTTTGGACTTGGTTGTTGGTGATTAATTCACGGGAAAATTTCATAAATAAGAGATTAAATATAGCACATTTCAAAATTAAGAAATAAAGTTTAAAATTTCAAAAATCAGATTTTTATTAAAATTTATTTATGATTTAAATAAACAATTAAGTATTTTATTAATTAACTATATCTAGGTCACAGATCCGTACAAATTGATCACAAATTAACGATTTAGTTAGTCACTTGTTAATTTTTGGTGACAAATCAAAAATTTTATGTCAAATTATTTTACGATCACAATTCAAAAATTTTGTATGTCACAGTTTGTTCATCGGTCACAAATCAAAAAATTAATTAGTCACAGATTAATTTTTAGTCACAATTTATTAAATTATTGGCCACAACTTATTTTTCGGTCACAAATTAAAAATTTTATAGGTCACGAATTATTTTTCGATCACAAATAATTTTTTTTACAGGTCACAAATTATTAATCGATCACAAAATCAAAACTTTTATTGATCACAACTCATTTATTCATTGCAAATTATTAGATTAATTGGTCACGATTAATTTTCGATCACAACTTAATCAATTATTGAGTTATAGTCACAATTTTCAACCAATTTTTTGGTCACAAACACAGTGTAGCACCACCACTACCACCACCATCTCACCCACCCTAACCTACTCTGCCATCGCCACTACCACAGCCGGCAACTCACTACAACCATTATCAACATCGACGACAACACAGCCAACAACTCACTACAACCGTCGTCGTCGTCGCCAATGCAACCTAACCCAAACTCCACCATCCTGCAGCCCTACTCCACTCCACGCGGTGCCACCACCACCATCATCAACACCAACAGTGCCTCCACCGCCACGACATCACCACTATCCAATCATCTCACGCGACAAAAAAAAGGCAAAAAGGAAAAATACAACGCACTGGAACGACAAACACAGCATAACCCAGACTCCACCATCCCGTAGCCCCACTCCACTCCACACGAAGCCACCACAATCATCAACACCAACGACGCATCCACCACCACGACATCACCAACATCCAATCATCATCACACCCACAAAAAAAATAAATGAAAAATGCAGTGCCACTCAGATCTGGACGTACAACATCGTGCACGCCTGAGCAACCACCACGCATGGCGCTGCGCACTGGAATACCACCGGCGGTGGCCTTCTTCCCGACGGTGCGACGATTTTAGATAGTCATCGTGCGGGAGAAGGGGGAAGAGGGGAGATGAAGAGAGAGAGAATATTAGGGTTTGGTTTACGAGGGTTAATATTTTATAATATTAGAATTATTAATAAAACATCTGATTTTTGAACATTGAAACGTCCCATCTGATTATAGAATTGTGAATTTTTAAAATTGGGAATTGTGTAATTTCCACTTAATTCACCATTGGGCGAGGCCTAGGAAGTTATATTCCAACGTTTACATCGTAGCCCGGGATTTATTGGATATCAAAACCTACCACACAATATTTATTTATTTTTTAGCTAGATATACTTCATGATTTGTTTATGAACTTATTCCAATTCGATAGCTCAGGTCCCATCCATTTATCGATTATCAAAAGGAAGACGGAATAAATGTTGCAACTTATATGGCATCATGACCAAATGAGAGATCTAATTAAGAAGATATTTCTATATATGCTATAACTTAGATGAAATTGGGGGACATGCACTTCATTAATTCTAGCTATATGTATACATAATTAAGTAATAAAAAACATACATAATTAAGTACTTATATCAACACCATTTTTCTACTTTTTAAATTGAAGTTGCAGTCTCTCATTAAGAATTAACAATGAGCATTATCTCTTCTGCAGCTTTCTTGTATATTTCTTCCACTGGAAAAGGCTCCTGGACTTTATTAGAAACTCCAATTGCCTGGTATACATGAATTGGAGTAAGCAAAACCCCAGAATTATGAAAGAAAATTCAAAAATTAGTTTGACAATATAAACAAACAATTTCTCTTGAGTTGTTAGTTTAAACTTTTGGATGAGCTAAGCATTCAAAATCTCAATCAATGAATTTGAAATAAATCACAAAACTTGTTTGTTGCCTATAACAGGATTAAAAAAAAAAAAAAACCCTAGTTCTGTATATCAAACAATTTCTCTTGAGTTGTTAGTTTAAACTTTTGGATGAGCTAAGCATTCAAAATCTCAATCAATGAATTTGAAATAAATCACAAAACTTGTTTGTTGCCTATAACAAGGAAAAAAGAAAAAAAAAAGTTCTGTATATCAACTTTTGTGTTTCATAATTATCCAACACTTGCACAAACTTTCTTAATAATGTATACTCAACATGTTCTACAATTTGACAAACTAAACAGTATAATTAATGGGATTTCTGAATATTTTAGGGAGAAAATGATGAACTTACATGGGCTTGAATCATGTACATGCTTCTATGATGATCAGATGAAACTTGAGCAGAAACCACTTCAATTTTATGTTTCTCCAACACATAGCAAATGGCAGTGAAAAGCCCGGCCTTCTTCGGACAACAAATGCTGATTTGGGCATCTTGTCCACATATGTTTAGGCTCATATTAGGAGAAGACCATGTCTGAAAAAAGACGGGAATCTGTGAGAATGAAAATGAGTTTGAGGCATTAATGGAGGGCAAGTTATTCTTGGAAGATCCTTCATCGGCTAAAACTGCCTCCCCCGCCTTTGTTGCGAGTTTCTCGTGCTTCTGTTTCTCGAGTTTCTGAATAGTTTTTTGTAGCATCCTAATGTGGTTTACTGCTTCATCGACAATGGTGGACTTGTCTGTCTGCATTAGTTTCAAATATAAACATCTCAAACTGCACTCAATTTGAGCCTTGAAATCTAAAATAGTTGAAGGAAAATAACAAATTCATGTCCAAATTATGACTATTTTGTTTCTAGAGACTGGATATTATTTAACGTGACAGTATAGTACTGTTAAATTTTGTTCAATCTAACTTGCCAAACGATCATGGAAAATTATACTACAAAAAGAGAAGCTCAAATAATTAAAATTAGATAGAAATAAATGTAAACTTGTTGCAGTTTTTTCAAGAAAGGGATCGAGTCTTCCTTAGCAATCTACATAGGATTCTTGATTTTTGACAGGGGAACAAAAGATTCTTGAATTCGGCGATTTTGGATAATTAGCTTTTGATTGAGAGAAATTTTTCATTAAATATGAGCTAACAATATACTCTGCATCGAGCTCTTAACAATTCACAAATTATTTTTGCACTGAACTTTTATTTTTCTTTAAATTAGCAACTCGATCTACACTTATATTCGACGATTCCTACTATTTACTTTCGCAAACCAATAGAATTACCTTGGGAGGAAGTTGAGGAAGAAAAGCTTGAAGATTTGCAAACATGTCCCTCATCTTCTTCCTCCTCTCTCTTTCAGTCCACGTATGAACCTCATGATCCAAATCATAGCCACCACTTTCTTCATTTAGTTGATCACCGCCGTCTTTGTCAGCTGCTACCCTCTTCTTCCCGGTCGCCGGTGGTGGTGATGATTCTGTATCTCTCCCATTTTTCTTGCCTGATTCTTCTTCATCCCCTCCTAAGTTATCAGAATTTTGTGATCGGTTGTCAAAACTGAACTTCCCGTGATTATCGTCTTTAGACATGGCCAGCCAGCACAAGAGGAAAAAAAACTGTAGATATAAATCAGAAATGGAAGTTCTTATTAAATTTTTATCCACACCTTTTGAGACCCGCTATTATTTTATTTTATTTTTATTTACACACTCCCAAATAAGTACATTATAAGTAAATTCATGTGTAAGTAAATAAGTTAGTTTTTGAAAAGATTATCGACTAAATTTAAAATAAGTTATTAGATTAATTGTAATTAAAGAGTTAAAATTTGGCGTTAGAAAAAGATTTTTCTCCATATTTAAAAAATAATAATAATAATAATTAAAAGTAACTTTTTTACTTATATTTAAGTACAAATATGTCAGGGACAAACAAAATGCAATCGTAAGCCCAAATGCTGTTCTTGGCTTCAAAACAACAAAGGATAGGTAAAGCACGTCGTAGAAAAAATCCTCACTCGAGGAGGTCCCACAAGGATGATAATGGACCCACTTCTCTAAATCTCACACATTAGATCGAGATATTTTGATTCGTTACTAAATATATTGTTCATACAATTTCTCAAAAATTGAATATCTTGTTGATATTTTTTCACACACTATTATTACTTTGTATTTTAGATTGTATCTTATCATTCGTAATTTTAGATTCGACGGAAGACTAGATATGGTCAATCTTCACTGGATAAATATGTCTTTCGAATATGGATGACAAAAGATCCCATTAACCCCGACCTTTGCGGGACAGAGATTTCCCAACTAATTGGGTAAACAGAGAAGAGTTAGTTGCTCTGGGACGAGAATGAGAATCATAGTCCCTCCTCGTTTAAAATTCTTTTCAAATTTCAGTTTTTTCGAAAAATAACCATCATTTCTAAAAAAAAAAACATAAATTGGTCTTTCATTAGAAAAAAATAATGATATTCACCAACTAAAGACATTCAAAAATAATAATAATAATAATAAAAGCAATAAATGAATAATTAGAAAGAAATAAACCGAGGGTAAATGGGATAGGAAACCTTCCCTTGCTCTGCCCCCCTTCATCCCGTCCCCACTTAACCAAGTTTGGGAGAGGGACAAGTTGATAAAAATACTCAATGGACGCGAGGGATGGTAATGATTGTCCTGATCCCAACCCATCTTGTTGCCTTCCCCAATTCCGAATGAATGAAGCAGGATAATTTTCTCCCAATCTCTTCCAAAATAAGTATTTTTATGTCTCTCATCAATCTATTAATTTTGAATTTTTGATGGTTCGGTAAATTTGTGTATGTTTGTATCTTTAAAATTTTGTACGGTTTACTATTACATTTTTATGACGGGTTCAAGTTTATGTGATAAAAGTAGTAAAAGAGTGGAAATTTTTTTCCTTCTTAAATACTAGCGATTAGGATTTCCCTATTCTAACGAAGCAAAATCTCAAGTTTGATGGACATGTAATTTAGTTTTTTTTCATATACTTTTAACAATAAATATATTTGGCCATAATATTATTCTACATGATATTTCATAAACAAAACATTCCTATACAAGAAGTATAGAAATGAAAATTGCAATTCAAGATAAATTGCTAGATTTTTTGGTCAATGATTACACGCATTATTAACATGTTTTATATAAAAAAAAAAAAAAAATAATAATAATAATAATAATAATAATAAAGAAGGAAATTTAATACTTAGAACGCCTATTAGTTGAGACCGTTCAACTAAAATGATATTAAAAACAAATTCATATAATTAATTCAAACATGAATTAGTTCTAGTCATTGTTTGATTTAGCTAAAAATTATATTTTTTTTTGTAAATTTTGATTAAAAAAATGAAGAAATAAACGATTGAAAAGTTGATAAAAGTTGTGAATTCATAAATTTTGTGGTTGAAATTAAATTTAAAGAAAAATAAAATGAATTCTGCTATTTGTACACGGATATTTGACACTTTGATTGACACTTTCATTGTTATCAAGTGTCAATTGGATGAAAAATTGTTTAAAATTTAAACTGTCCAATAAGATAATGTGACGTAGTAAAGTATAAATTAAAGTGTACACCATAGTGTATATGTAACAAAATTCAAATAAATTTTAGAAAAATGGTGGTCAAATAGGAGCTTCATGTCTCATTTTGTGGGATATTTTGCAAACAAACACTCATGTTTGCATATATTCCTACAAAAGAATGGTCAAACATACTTACCTCAAAAGGATGGGATGGGCACAGTACTCACATGGAAATGCAGATACAATCACGCTTTCTACGAAGTTTCAGTTGATAAAAGGCGCCGTAAAGTTAATCAATTGACGTATTCAATTCTTGGACTGTGAAATGCTCGTGTTCAACCCTTTGTTTGTCACAAGACAAGAAATCGTTGAATTCGTGTAAAAAAATAAGAATTAATTTTTTTTGTTAATTTTAGTAAAATCACTATCAAGCATAATTTCTCGATAATTGATAAGTGCTTTTTACACTTATCCGAATTTTTATTCATACTAGTCTTTGACACGTGCGTTGCACGAGTTTTGTATTTATTGTATTTTTATTAGCGTCCAAATTGTAGATTTTTCAAAATTGATTGAAGACTCGAAGTATTTGGTGAAGTTTAATCGTCTGGTTCATTACATTAGCGCAGGATGCATGGAGATTTCTTTTTCGTTTTTTTCCTCATTTATTTATTTTTTATTTTTTTTATTCATATTATAAATATTTTTCTTGATTTAAAATACTTTTTAATTCTTTTTTCTTTATGAAAAAACTTAATTTTTTCAATTTTAATTAAAAAATATTTATAGTGTAAGAAAACAATACAACACGCAATTTTCATACCTCCCAAAAAATAAAAAAATAAAGATAGTATAATATAGAAAATATTTTACAAAAAGTTGTAAGTAAAAAAATTTGAAGAGAAAAGAACTAAAAATAATTTTAAATTGAAAAAAAAATTATTTTTAACGTAAAACTACGATACTGGTTTCTCTCGGCACCATATTCATATGTATTTATATTTTGTGCTTCATATATATTTAATATTTATTGTATGCTTATGTTGAAAAAATAAAAATTTAGAAATTTTTTTTGAAATTCGATTTGGTAAGTAAATGTACGGTGTTCTGCATTCTTGGTATTTGTAAGTGTAAAAATCGGTATATAAAAATACAGCAAGTTGCAAATACGGTAGGCAGCATCTACGGTAAGTTGTTTGCAAATACAGTAGGCTGCAAATACGATAAGTTGCAAATACGGTAGGCAGCATATAGGTAAGGTGCAAATACGGTAAGTTGTTTGCAAATACGGTAGGCAGCATACACGGTAAACTGTCTGCAAATATGGTAAGCTGCATATATGGATTTATAATTTGTTATAAATGTATAAAATTTATTTAATATTGAATTTCTTAAGTATTAAATGTTGTAATTCAATATTGTTTCTTTTTTTTTTATAATTGTATTTCCGAAAATTTTAAAAAAAAATTGGTTTTGAAATTGCTAATTTTTAAATGTGTTTTTTTGTTGAAAATAAAAATGATTTTTTTTATGTTATTTGTAAAAAAAAAAAAAAAATTATTGTAGTTTTATTAGCGTAATAAGAATATTTATTATGCATTTTTATTTTTTGCATTCTGTGAAGAATTTTGTTTATAGTGATTGACAAATATTCTTCCACACATGCATCATGCCAACAACATTAAAAAAATAATAATAATTTTAGTATATATTAAAAAATATATGTATATTATGGAGGAAAGCCTCCATATTTATGGAGGCCTAACCTCCATGATATGGAGGGTTTATTGAGATAACTCAACCATGAGCCTCCGTTATTATGAAGGCCTTCATAATAACGGAGGCCTTCATGATAACGGAGGCTCATGTGTGCTTGAGACTCCGTAATTACGGAGGCTCCAACGTGCATTTTTTTATTTTTTTTCCTTCATTGGCTCTCAATACAATAATTTCATTTCATTTAATTAACTTAATTTTTTTAATATTCTTAAAATAAAAATACATAAAATAATGGAGGCTTACTCTTTCTCCATTTTTACACATTACAACCATACTTCTCTATTTCTCCACACTATCTCTTTCACCATTTTCTCACGCTATCAACCATGTATTTTTAGAAAGTTTATTTTTGAGCACATAAATAAGTTTAAATAAAAACATTATTTTTATATATGTATGTAAAAGGTATATAGTAACCATTTGGATGATCAAAAAATAATATCAATCAAAATGTTTACGAATCGTTTAAAATAATAATTTATTGAGGGTTTAATTCAAGAGCAAAAGTGTGAATTCCATAAATATATGATTGAAAATATGTTTGAAGAAAAATAAATTTTAAAAAATGAAGATCAAATATGTTAACAAATGAATATATTTATTTTTCGAGAAATGAGTTTTTATTACCATTTCATTTTTGTCATTAAATAATTTTAATCTTAATATGTTAGATTGTGCTTCGAAATTACATAATCTATCAAATATAATTTTTAAAATTAATTTTTATAAAGTAATATGTTTTTATGATTTTTTTTTTTTTTTGGTTTTTTGGAAGGTGAAATATAATAGTATTAAAAAAATAAAAAATAATTAAATAATTAAATTTTTATTAATTTTATAATATAATATGTTATGGAGGCTCATGCTTGAGTCTCCATAACAATTATGGAGGCATCAGCATGATGCCTTCATACACGGAGGCTCATGTCTTGAGCCTCCATAACAATTATGGAGGCTCGAGTATGAGCCTCCATTATTACTTTACTAAAAAAAATATCATAAAAATATATTACTTTATAAAAATTAATTTTAAAAATTATATTTGATAGATTATGTAATTTTGAAACACAATCTAATGTATTAAGATTAAAATCATTTCAAGATAAAAATGAAATGATAATAAAAACTCATTTCTCGAAAAATAAATATATTCATTTGTTAGCATGTTTGATCTTCATTTTTTAAAATTTATTTTTCTTCAAACATATTTTCAATCACATATTTATGGAATTCACACTTTTGCTCTTAAATTAACCCCCTCAATAAATTATTATTTAAACGGTTCGTAAACATCTTA